CTCCTGCGGGCGCCCGGGCAACGGGTCTGATCGACGGCAGCACGAACCAGTGAACAGCGCGACCGTGGGCACCGCCTCGCCACAACCGCCCCCGAGGGCCAACCGGGATGCGCAGGCGTCGCTAGGCGGGACGCACCGGTTGCTGGGAGGCCGGCAGCTGAGGCTCCTTGGGAAGGAAGTCACGTGGCTGCAGCCGCGCTTCCCTCCGAGCCCCCGCCTCTTCTCCTGCTCCCCGAGCCCCGCCCTGCTGAGCTGCCAGCCCGGAGGAGCCGCCTCCTGCAGGTCTGAGGAAGGAAATTTGCTTTTCAAAGCAGATTGGCAGAAATCTGAAGAGGTTAGAGGCAGAAATTATAAAAGGAAGAGATAGGCTAAGCCACCTCTTCTTTTCAGTTTAGAGAAACTGAGGCCAGGAGAGGAGCGAGGATAACTTTAGTGATAAAATCCATCTTTCACGTATTGGTTCCATCCCTTCATAATTTGAAAATTGCTCCCATGTGCATCTTCTCATATAGCCACAGACCACTTCCTGAAGGAGCTGCCGTTTGGGTTGGACATAGATTTAGGCGGGTATGGGAGGTAGGGTGCTTGGTGTGGAGGAACTCCTCTCAAAACTGCAGAAAGCACTCCGGCTGACTGACACTACTCCCGGTGGTTTTCACCTGTTCTGCAATGGTGGGGTTCTGAAGACCAGGCTCAGCATACTCACCTTGTAACACCTGCCCCTCTAATCCACTTTTTCTAGAAGCACTTTAAGATACTTATCATCTGATCCTGCGGCAGGTATTTACCATACTCCTTGATTTTAAGATGCCATTGATTGTAAAAAGTACAAGGATGTCTTATACGTAATAAATAATTTTTAAGGCAACCTAAAAAGCATGGGCGTATCTATAAAAATGCATACGTAGGGTGTTCTAACAGCATAGTGGCTCTGAGTGAGACTCTGGAGGCAAACCTCCTGGATTTCGGTCCCAGCTTTCTCACTTTAAAATGAACATTGGCCGGGTGCGGTGGCTCAAGCCTGTAATCCCAGCACTTTGGGAGGCCGAGACGGGCGGATCACAAGGTCAGGAGATCGAAACCATCCTGGCTAACACGGTGAAACCCCATCTCTACTAAAAAATACAAAAAATTAGCCGGGAGTGGTGGCGGGCGCCTGTAGTCCCAGCTACTCGGGGGGCTGAGGCAGGAGAATGGCGTGAACCCGGGAGGCGGAGCTTGCAGTGAGCTGAGATCCGGCCACTGCACTCCAGCCTGGGCGACAGAGCGAGACTCCACCTCAAAAAAAATAAAATAAATAAAATAAAATAAAATAAAATGAACATAACACCACAGATGTGATAAAGTTGTATGGTTAACACAGTGCCACATATCAATCATTCAGTAAATGTTGGCTATTGTAATTGTACCATTTGCCTCTTCAGTACTATAATCAAAGGGCTTAAGTCTAAGCTCTCTCACTTTCACTGTCTGAGGTTTTTGTTTGTCTCAGAAATAATTTCGTTCCGTTCCCCAGGCTGGTCTCAAACTCATGGCCTCAAGTGATCCTCCTGTCTCAGCCTCCCAAAATGCTGGGATTACAGGTGTGAGCCACGCACCTAGCCTTCTAAAGTCTTAATATAACTTTCTGACCATCTGGCTAAGTATGGCATGATGACATACTGTTTTTTATAACCCATCAAGAGATATCTTGATCTCTTTAGCATCTTTAGAAATTAACAGTATAGACAGGGCATGGTGGCTCACACCTGTAATCCTAGCACTTTGGAAGGCCGAGGTGAGCAGATCCCTTGCTCCAGGAGTTCCAGACCAGCCTGGGCAACATGGTGAAATCCTGTCTCTACAACTCTACAAAAAAATACAAAAATTAGCCAGGCACATGCCTATAGTCCCAGTTATAGTCCCAGTTACTCAGGAGGCTGAGGTGGGAGGGTCACTTAAGCCTAGGAAGTCAAGACCACAGTGAGCCATGATTGTGCCACTGCACTCCAGCCTGGGTAGACAAAGCAAAACACTGTATCAAACAAAAAAAAAAAAGAAAGAAAAAAAAGGAAGGAAGGACAAAGAAAAATTAACAGTATAATTTTGAGGCATTTCAAAGAATATAGAAGCATTATATACATTTATTCTTTGCTTATATACTTGATTTCTTTTTTTAATTGTATATCCCTGGAATCTATACAGCTTTTCTTGTTAGCTAAAAACAGACTATTGACTGTTAAATATTCAGGGTCCTCAAGCACATTAGTGGTCAGGCCTAGCTTCCCCAACATTGTAACTTCAATGTCAGATTTACCAAGAGCGTTGGCAATCTCTACTACATTTGGTTGCATTCCTGATGTGTGACAGCTAATCTGCATATACAATAACTTATTATTTTAATACTCCACCACAGTGTAGCCTTTTAGAAGATACCTAAAGTGACACTTTGGGGTTCAAATTAAAATTCAACTGCATGGCACCACAAAGGCAAATAACTAAGCTAATTATCAAGTGAACATCTTTCTGTGGATGGCTAAATTTGCATATACCCAGTTAGTGATAACACTGTCACAATTTTTCTTCCTTGCCCTGTGGTAAAGCAAGCATTTTGGGGTGTCATTTGTAAGATAAGTCCTAAATAAAGAAACATTAAAGTGGGATGGGGTGGGAGCAGTGGGTCTTAGAATAAAAGAAATACAATATTATTATCCTCTTTTTTTTTTTTTTTTTTTTTTTTTTTGGTGAGACAAAGTTTTGCTCTACTGCCCAGGCTGGAGTGCAGTGGCACAATCTCGGCCCACTGCAACCTCCTCCTCCCAGGTTCAAGTGATTCCCCTGTCTCAGCCTCCTGCGTAGCTGGGATTATAGGCATGTGCCACCACATCTGGCTAGTTTTTGTATTTTTAGTATAATAATGGAAACTAAGGTCCCAAGATATGAAAATAAATTGCCAGGTGACTCAGGCCACGCACAGGCTGCATGACGCCAGATCCTAACTGCTAACTGCCCTCCCTCCCCTTAAGAATTCTGCCTTTGCAGTTGTAACTCTGTCTGCCCGTGTAGCAATCTCCCTTTCATCTTCTCTGTAAAACACTGCTCTTATGCCACCCCCTCGGGAAGCTTTCTTGGCTGAAATACAAACCTCTCTATTCAACACACAGTAAAAGCTCCTTACTAGGCCCAGTCTGCACTCCAAAAGAATATAAAGTATCAAACCTTAAAAGTCTTCCAAATTTCTTCTCCCCAGACTTCTCAGTCCCTCTCTACCAACCCTCCGGAACCCTGGACAGCCATAGTTCTTCCTGAAAGCTGCTGATTTCCTCTGAGAACACTGTTGACCATACATCCTCTTGAGCAGAGGTTGTTCAATCTCTCCTCCCTGGTACTCCTTGGTCAGGATACACGGTCAGCAAGAGCCTTACACTGTCTTACTTTCCTTGTTGCTGTTATCCAACAATTTCTAGTAACTCCCTGACTTAGTCTGGCTAATTGCGTTGCAGATTATCTCAAGAAAAGGAAATTGCAATGAGGGTGACTGTGGGCACTACTGGAACTCACAAGGGCAGAAACTCAGGCAACTCTTAGAACTGGTTTTGTCTCTTGTCATCTGCATCCTCTTTCTTTCCTACTTGCCCAACCCCATCAATTTTCCTTTCTGTTTTCTTCTAGGTTCTGCTCCCCTGTGAACCTGGTTTGCATAGAATCTATCATTGCTACCGATTCCTCTAGAGATGCCCAGCAGGTAGTATAAAACAATGAAACTTTCCAGGTGTGAGCAGCATGGGGTGGTGGAGGCTATGACAAACAGAAAGCATGTGCCCTGTATCCTCAGTTCCAGTCAGTTCCTGCCATACCAGACCTCAGATTTAATGAGAGAAGCCAAACAGCCAGATTTTCATGTGAAATCTCCCTGTTTTCAAATATTGACAACCCTTTCAAAATATTACAAAACATTGCACAGGTTATACAAATAAGTTTCAGGGCCACTCTGCAACTTCTGCTAGATATTTCTTGACAATTATTATTATTTTTTTTTTTCCTTTTTCTGAGAC